CATATTCTTCAGAGCTCCAAGCATTTCTGAAAACAGACTGCTCCTTCTCCTAGGGCCCCTAATTAATCTCCTCCTCTTCCTATAAACTGCCATGCCGAGCTGTCCACCAGGTGTCCTCAAATACTTTCAACAGACTCTAGCCTCACCTGCTCTCACTCCTCTCCTGTTGATTCCAGCTTTGTGCTTCATGAGGACACATAAATATCATCTATGTATTTATAAATATTTGTATTAGTGTGAATGCTTGTGCATTGCACACTTCATGTTTACAGAAAAAACACTTCATGAAAACATGCACATGCTTGACAGGTTTTCTTTGAAACAATTATGACAACATATCAAGCAGTAACCTAACAAGCTAACAGTGAAGCTAACAGGAAGTGCAAAACAACTGCACTTCTTCAAGTGGCCACATGGGGCACAAAACAGCAACAAAACAAAAGAAGAGCTTTGGTCTTCAAAGCTTTCTTTATTCATGAGAAGAAGGATGCATTGTGGTTAAACTCAAAATCAAAGCTATCAAAGATTGACAGAAGGAGGCTGCTGGCTGTCTGCTGTGTCAACTAAGACCTAAGGGGCCAACAACAACAACCTACAAATGGACCCAATAAAGCACATAAAACACCTTAAAGTCAAAGTGATGGGATTTTTATGAGTCACAAAAAATAATTTTAAAAAGTCAAAAAATTACTGAGGGAGGCTCCCGCAGCAGCCGCCACTCCAAAACTCTTTGGGGCGGCAGTAGCTCAATCTGTGGAGACTTGGTTTGGGAACCTGAAGGGTTTGTCTTATGACTACATACTCTCACAGAGTGAATGAAATTCCCAAACTTTCAGGTGCATCCCCACACAGTCTTTGATTCAGTGATGGCTGAAGAGGAGACTCAGTCTGTTTTGGGGGTTTTATTATTTACAGAGAGGACAGTCAGAAATCAGGGAGGGAGATGGAGAGAGAGTGGGGAAAGACAGGCGGCAAAGCAGCCACTGGTTGGACTCAAACCCAGGTCGCCCGCTTGGAGGACTTAAGGACTGACTTGTCGTCAGTAAGAGTGGTCTTGGTTTCTCCTGCACAGAGAGATGAAGAGAAAAAGAAAGGAAAAGGGAGGGTTAGTAACAAACTTATTACCTTGTTTGGTTGTTTGAATTTGCAACAGTTTTTGATGCCACTTGTTTTAAAATAAGACAATCTGAGAATCCTTAATGATGCATTGTATCAAAAAGTATTGAAGCTTTAATAAAAACTAAAGACCTTCAGTCACAAGCTGTTTTCACATCTGCCTGAAAATCTATATGCACGGTGCAGCAGTCACAGTATATAAACGTCATTCCCCCCCTCCTATTGGCTTGAGCTGAATTCTCCTGATTATATCCTGCTGTGTTTTCACATCAGCTCACTCAGATGTGGAGAAAAATGGGCTCTGGCAGGTGGCAAGTGTTGAAGCCCTAATATTTTGAACACAAAGCTGCAACGGCTCATTCAAATTCACACTCATGTCATGAAGATGTGATGGTTTTTTATGTCTAACAAACAGACAGCAGAAGTGGTGACTGTCTAAATTGCACAAACACATTGCTGCCAATGTATTATGTGCAATTTCAGACAATGTGCAGGAGTTTGCTTGTACATTTTTTGTCAATAAAAAATGGAAATTCAACCAAAATTGTGCACTTGGGGCTAGGTATCGAAACTGTTTTTTTTTTAATGTCGTCTAATTCTTACTAGAATTATATTGACGTTTAAAAAGTGACAATCCAACTCAAATGTTTGAATTATATTTACCTGTAGTCAGACTTTCTTGAACATCTCCCTCCGTTTCCTGATCATCTCCTGAAAAACAGATGAAATGTCAGAGTGTGAATGAAGATTAAATCGTGACTTTAAACACAAAGACGTTCTCGAGACTCACCTTCCTCCATGTGTATCACGACTTGATGGTCACCTGGAAAAAAAAACAATATATAATTATGGTGGAGGACAATGGGCTGTAAAAACAACACCATGTAAAGCGAGCAAAAGCAAACCCTAAGAGTCCGAAACATGAGTCAGATCATTACATGGTTCAAAGAGTGATGATTAGCAGCCAAGCCCTTTTTCCACAAACCATGGGCAAACAAAAAAAAACAAGACATATGAATGACATGTGAAACCTGTTTGTGGTGAGTTATTTGGTTACATGATGTTTCAAAAGATGTAGCCCAGGAGGCCCCACATCGCCTCGTTGAATTAGAAAAAAAAAAAACTCAAACTCAAACTCAAACTGCCTCAGGTTGTTAAGACTCTTCAAACAGGTCAAGGTGCAGTTTGCATCCGCCCATGACGGTGAAATGGAAGCCTCTGACTACGCCCCCTCTCTGGAAGGGCTTTGGTGGCTCGGGCTTTCTTGCTCCATGTTCTATTGTTTACGGTGAGAAGGCAGACTCAGAGGGCAGAACAAACACCTATCTGTGGGAGTGTCACCCACCTGGGGGAGGGGCTACTGCCCTTTGTGATGTCATGAGGGGGAACTCTCCAAACGGCCTGTTTGAGCACACATTTTCTGAAAAGTGGATTGACTTTTCTCTTAATTGGGGGGTTTGTAGACAGACTCGGGACACAAATTAGTGTCTGACACCTTCAAAACTCCTCGTGTTATCCATTGTCAGGAGTATTTATTTCCTTTTGGCTCTGACAGGAAAGTAAGGGCACACTCACACTAGGCAAGCACGTTTGACCACAAAGGCCAGTTCGCTTTGACTAGTAGTGTAAGGGCACGGTCACACTGGCCATCCGTACCGTGCCCAAGCACACTTCAACGCTAAAGTCCAGTTTGTTTGACCAGTGTGACCGCACCGTATCGTGCTCAGGCACAGTACACTTCATGCACGAGCACAAGCACGCGGGTAAACAACACTGACAGCCTTCATTATGGAGAAATCCAGAGTTTCATGTCTGTATCTGACTAACATGACACAATATAAGACACAAAGTAGCTGTCATGCTCTGTGTTGTTCTCCGATGTGCGGGTGTCCGTGCGGCCGAGTCCGCGCGCAAGTCCGTGCGTGAATCCGCGTGGACGTCTGCACATTGGAGAACAATTAATTTATTTATTGCTGTGTCTGATTAAAATGGCTTAAAATAAGCTGTAAAGTCATTAACGTAGCTGTCATGCTCTGTGTTTTTCTGTGATGTGCAGACGCGGACTCGACTGCGCGTCTCTTTTTCTCTTTTTCTCTCTCTCTCGTCCGCCTGTTTGTAAACTGAGCACGCTTCATAATAACATAAAGCGTTGTATTGTGTGTTGTATTAAGACGTTATGTACAAGAGGTAATCGTGCTTCGGCACGGATAGTCCTGTGTAGTGTGACCGCGGGCCGCGCCGGCCAGCGGGGGAATGGTGCTGCGGGGGGGCAATCGTGCTTGGGTACAGCACGGTACAGATGACCAGTGTGACCGCGCCATGAGTGATCCGTTTCGTGCATGATACTGGTACTTTAAAGAGGTCGTATTATCCCCCCCCTCCAGCTTCTCAAACAGTCTCCTGTGGTCTAAATGAAACATCTGTGCTGTGCTTTGGTCAAAATATAACATGAATCAAGCACCAGAGGAGGTTTGTGACCCTGTATAAACCAGCTCTCTCAGAATGCTCTGTTTTGGTGTGTGTGTCTCTTTAAATGTAATGACCCCCCCCCTGAGTTTTCCCCGTAGACATCACTCCTCTGTAGAGAGAATAAAAATGGCCGACCTGCGCTAAAGTTTTGTTTTAGGCTGGGGGTGGAGTCCATGTGTAGATATACCAGGGGAGGGGAGGGGATGTTTTTTTTACCAGAATCCCACTGTGACATCACAACTTTGAAACAGAGCATTTTTCTCTGTGTTGTAAGATTTATGCAGCCCACAAACAAAGGACAGGATGGGTTTATTTCACATTTTGTGGGTCAGTAGACACTCAGGTTACCCAAATATATGTTCAAAAACACTGTACAAGTGGACTTTTCATAATACAGTATGTCCCCTTTAAGATCTTACAACAATGCATTTGCAAAGTCCAGGATGCAGGACAGCATCCAACATCCTCCTCTGGTGCAAAATGACATAGGTTTCAATATATTAATAACATTTTGAATTTCAAGAGATTTAAAGTTAAGATGGCTAAATGTAAAATAAACAAGAATGCATTTTCAATGGTCAGTTTTTGAATTCAGGCTGCCATGTTGAATATACAGATATATATTTAATGGTACTCACGCTGAGATCCTATTTTGTAAAGTAGCAACACTAGCAAGATCAGAGACCCGACGACCAACACAGGAGCCACTATCAAAATCATGTTTGAGTCTTGTCCATGCCCTGAATGAATCAAATAGAAGAAAATAAAAAGTTACAGATGTAATACTTCACATGGATATAAAGATAGAACATAGAAGAAGATATTTGGAACCAGGTTGGCGTGTCATGCAGTTCCCCCTGTGATACTTTTAGCTGCAAACATCCACTATCTCTTTCTCTCTAGGGGGGGGGTCTGAGTTAATGATCTGCCCTCCCAGACAAAGTAGAAAGTAAAGACAACGCCTGGAGGGGATTTTGGTGTTGCAAACGCGCGACTGTCGACTGCAAAACAGATATTAATCAGCTGATGATAAGTGACCGTTTACTGCATTCAGCAGATGTGGGGACTTGTAACAGCTCGGCTAAGGTCACTGCACAGATATCAACGAACCAGTTCATGAGTTTTCCCGTCAAAGAGTATGAACAATGGATCAAAACTTTCATGAAATGAAGAAGCTTGACCCCCCCATGGTTTAGAGAAAGTACTGGGTCACACTTGGAGACTTATTGATGTCTTACAAGATGGAAGGAAACAAAACTGAAGCAACGTGGGAGGGAAAGTTGCTCCGACTTGTTTTTTTAAGGAAGCTTCAGCCTCTTTGTGGTTTAATGTTTACAAGTTCAGTCTGAGCTGCCAAGATTTTCTTTTCCCCTGCATAATCAAAACACTCCTGGGGATATTTTGCTCTTTGGACTCAGCTCTCATAATTAAAATAACAGTTAGTGTTCAAATCAAGGGTGCTGCCAAATAAGCCCTAAGGTTCACCCAGGTTCTTCATATTCTAGAAACAAACAAACACCTGCAAATCCGATTTGATAACGCTGAATATTCACCCTTCTTTAACATCTTGATTTATAGAAATATGTCGTATTTCAGGAACGTCTTTATTCAGCTTCTGGCAGCCTGATTCTGTGTTTTGAGTTTGTATCGGACTCACACAGTTTCCATCTTCGACATCTATAGCCGCCTACAAACAGGGGCGTGTCTAAAAAGGGTTGGCGTGGGCCCCCCCTTGAAATCTGATTGGCCACCCCGTGGTGCCTGGTGAACGGCTAGGTCGGGAGAATCTCCGGAGCGGTCCTCCTGCAATTATCTAGATATCATCTGGAGTGCATATGTGAAAACAGCTTTAGTGAGTACAGCAAAGTCTGGACTGTTCAGTGTTTGTGCTGACGGGTGAGATAAGGCCGGGCCGGCTACCTGAATGAATAAATTAAAAAAAAAGGGAACCTACAAGTCACCATCATTCATGTCTTCAGTTACAAGATTTTGATTGCTAGGCCTCAATCATTTCCTCAGATCAATTCTATGTCCATATCGTACCCTGTTCCATTATTCACCATGTACCTTAATAACTTATCATTTAGTATTTGCCTACTTGCACATAGTTCTGTATATATATATTTATTTCTCGTTTACTGCATATAGTTCTGTTTACATCTGTTAGTCCGATCACTGTCCACTTATATCTACTTTTTTATATTTTGTGTTTTTAAGTTAAGTTTAAGCTTTAAGTTTTATTTAAATTGACACTTTCTATTTAGGTTCAAATGTTTCGTTTACTTGCACTGTTGTTAATTTGCTGCTCTGTGTGCCTTTGAATTGCCCCCCGGGGACAAATAAAGTTTTTTGAATTGAATTGAATTGTACTTCTGATAAATCCTCCTGGCGTTCCTCCCTGGGTTCAAGTTCCTCTTAGTTGAGCAATCCTAAAAGAAGACCGTAACGATTGCGTAACGGCATTGACGTCGGTGTTGCTTCAAAAAAATGTTTTGCATGACATAACATGTGACTGTAGCTAAAAGAAATCTGACAAAAAGTACCGGTTGTTGTGTGAAGAAGGAAACGAGTATCATGTGTGGTGCTCGACAACGGATACCTTCGGCCGATGGTTTGTTCTGCACTGTGAAGGATTTCTCCGCCTCTTCGTCTCCTCTGGCGTTGAACACTTTGCAGGTGTACTGGGAGAAGGCAGATCCTCCCTGTATTTTCAGCGTGCTTGAGAGGATAAACAGACCATTCTCTGTCTTCAGCACCTTCACCTCGGGTTGGTCTAACCGAGGCTTGTTGTCTTTATCAAACCAGCTGAGTCGGCCTTTTGGGTAGCCGGTGGACTTGCATGTCAGGGAACCGTCGGTGCTGAGATCAATGTCCTGAGGTTGAGGCTGAATAGTTGGCACTCCGTATTTGGCTTGAAGGAGAACATGGAGATGAAACATGATTATTAATCTGAACTTCAACCCTCGACATCAATCATCACACTATTATTTTACCACTGATATTTGATGTGTGATAAGCAAATGTACTTTATGACAGCAGACATCTTATATGTCATAAAGAAACAGAAAGTAGCAAAGACACCGAGCAAACATTGAACAGTCTCTGTTGAAGGTAAATACCAGACTGATGGGGAAGGAAAGTCTCCCGTTCTCCACACAATCTACATTCCATCTAGCTCACTTTTACATCTTTCCTGCAGTCCATCTTCTGTCTTTAATCTTATAAATGTTTACACAAACAGACAGAAAAATGAGCTCTCAGGGGCTGCTTCAGAGATTAATCATTCCCTCAAAATGATGTGTGTGTGTGTGTGTGGGGTGTGTGTGTGTGTGTGTGTGTGTGTGTGTGTGTGTGTGTGTGTGTGTGTGTGTGTGTGCCAAAAAGCTGAGACAAAGTTTTATCTTAGAGCTCACCTGTGACGTTCAGTCTGGTTTGGTTGATGTTAAAACCACTGTCTGTGAACACATAACATGTATAATCTCCCTCGTCCTTAACAGCAGTTTTGTGAATGAGCAGGGATACGTTCACGTTCTTGTTGTTCCAGGACGGTTCAGCAAATGAATATTCAAGCAACGATCTAAGTTTTCCTTGGTTGTATTTAAGTAGAAGTTCTTCAACCCCCTCTCTACTCCAAGTTACCACCACGATTTCAGGATCTTCTACCTCTTTTGAGTAGTGGATTACACAGTCAAGTCGTGACTGCTGCTCATACTGTCCGAAGTTTTGAGTCTTGCAGTGAATTTTCACAAAGCCTGTGAAGAAAGAATCACATGAATACCAAGAAGAATCAAATATTTCAAACTCCATATGACGGAGGAACTTAAACTTACTCTGTGAACTTCCTGCACTGTTGAGGACAGCGAGCGTTAAGAGCAGAAAAGTAACGGAGGCCATGTTCCTCTACCTGAAATGAAAGTAAAATAATTGAATGCTTTATGGTGCATTCATGTGGTGTCGGCAGGGTTGGGAAGTAACGGATTACATGTAACGGCGTTACGTATTTAAAATACAAAATAAGAGTAATTGTATTCCGTTTTAGTTCCAGTTTAAATTGGTGTATTCTGAATACAGTTACTTTCTCAAACAAAGGATTGCCGGTAGGATCACTTTACGGCACTACACGCAGGTTGCACTGTGCGGATGCAGAAGCAGGTGGCATTATGTGCGCAGGTGCGCTGCAAGTCAGTGCGCGAGAGCACTTTCCACACAACCGAACGACAATGGCAGAGGATGAGAAAAACGACCAGGAGGAGGACAAAAATGCATTTTTGCCATGGAAATTCAGAGGTCAAGAAGGCCGCAACATCACAGTGTTTACATCTTTCAAATGACAGAATAATAAATGGCATGCATTCATTTTTAAATTTGATTCAATATTCTAATCGTTAAGGAAGAGGAACACCTTGATTAAACTACAGGCTATTGTTGCCATATAGCCAAACAAAACTGAACATTCACAGCCTCTGCATTGTATAGAATTTCAACATTGACATTTATGTCTTCCTATTTCCCTCTTTTCGCCAACATTATATTTTTTTTATATTTCCTTTTTCTCGGGTCGCGCGTCTCTCCCCCAGCTCGCCCCCTCCGGTGCGCTCCTCTCCATAATGCGCTCGTCTCCTTCCTCTAAAGCCCGCTGCTGAGCACTCTGTAGGACGCTTGGATTGGGGGACCTCACCACTGTTTGTACCCCCGTCTTCGATACCTCTTTCCAGGGCATTTATATCCGATCAGACACAGCGCTGGCCAGCTGTCCGGTGCGCAACAACGGCGAGTGTAGAGCGTCCGTGCCACAGAGGACACAGCTCACACCTCCTGCGCAATGTATGACACTTCATTCTTAAGATGAAGGGAAGAAAAGAGAGGCCCTGTTTAATGCCGAGGTTTTCTTATAACCAAAATATTCTTTGTAATATTGAGATTTATCTGCTATAACTCGAAAGTATTGTGCGTTTATTTGCCTCTCCCACTAATACCTATTTTGCGCTTGCAGTCATCCTGCTTTCTGTCCAAACGCTCCGTGATGTAAACCAGTAGAACACGCAAAAAAACTAACTTAAATATTACCGCCTCCACAAGGTTTGCACCTGATGTCATTCGCGCAAATCTTAGTAGATCACCCGCAAAACGCCCACCAACCAAACGTGCAAACTTTTGGAGTGAACACGCAATTTAGTACTCTTTACTTGGGAGCTTAGTTAAATCAGGCCCTTATAGTAGAGGAACTTGGGCCCCTAAAAGTTGAGAGACCCCTACCCGAGGTAGAACAAAGCACGACCATATTTTTTCATAACTTGAACATGTCTAGTTTATGAAACGGATTGTTGTATAAAAATATTTTACTGCAAAATAACTTTTTTTGGATGTTTTATGCATCTTACCAAAAAACGAAAACAGGTCAAATTAGGGCTTCTCCAAAAGGGACAGCTCTAGCCTTATCACACGTATCTCTGGGAATCAGAATCAGAATTTCACCAAATATGGACAGGATGTTCACAGATAGTTATTAGTTACAATTATGCAAAGTTTTTATCAATACTATTTTCATTTTTTGAATTTTTCACACTTAAACACACATGTAGTTTAGGCGGAAATTGAAAATTGAAACAAATATTCAAAAGGTATGTATATCAAAGTCTGTCATTTTTTAAGTAAGGACACCAAACATTAAAATATGTCATTTGTATCTTCTTTAGACTGTTATCTCAACATAAAAGCAAGTTATGTGACTTCTCACTTGACCCTATGCTGTCACCAGCCCCAAACAGGAAACTAGTGCAGCCAGGATTTCAGGGCGACCTGGTACAATGGGGCCCTATGAATGTGTATGTAGGAGGAGGTGGCCACAAACAATTGATTAAGACTTAACAACAAGACACAATATAATTGTATTCTGTAATATATATATAATTAAACATTTTATAGTTATTTCTAATACATTTTGTCTCATATTTTCTATCTTGTATATGATTTATATGATGACACTCAGAGTCAACCCGCTGCTTTCAACAATATTGTCACCTATGACATTGTTTCTATTTCATTCTAAAAAATTAAAGCATTGTCTTGACATCAGTTGTGAAATATTAATGATCTAAAAAACAGTATTGATATATATAACCTTGAGTTCTTAGAAATTAAACATACTTCATATAGTCTATTTGTATATCGGCCATACAGCCTGTTGTAGTTTTTTAATGTATTTCATTCATATAAAGATGGTGTGTCGTCACCATATCTCCTGCTTTTAAGAAGAACCCTAGTTACTCCAGAGGATACACTGGATGAAGGGATAGTTTTTATAATACCCTAAGTATGATAAAGTGTTAAAAAAAAAAGCTACAATAGTTATTTTTGTTGAATGATTTATCAGGCAACCAATGGAGCTGGGATACAAAACAATTCTTATGATGGCGTAAATGTGTGTAAGGTAAATTAGGATAACAATCATGCAGACATGTTTATAAAAAACGTCTTTATACACTTATTTTACCTCATTATATATAATGACATTTGAGTTTTAAATGCTAATTACAAAGGACGATTTCCACGTTTAGACAAACTGACTGCGAACCTGAGAGCTTAACATCTTGCAACTAAAAACCTTTGTCTCACACTTAAGCATCCCCTGGGGTCAAAGTTTGACCTCTTACCTCACAGGAGCTTTAAGAAACAATTGCTGCAGAAAATAACCATCAACAAAGTCAACCAACCAAACATCACAAACAAATCAAGACACCATAACTAAATCAAGACACCATAACCAAATCAAGACACCACAACCAAATCAAGACACCATAACCAAATCAAGACACCATAACTAAATCAAGACACCACAACCAAATCAAGACACCATAACCAAATCAAGACACCATAACCAAATCAAGACACCACAACCAAATCAAGACACCACAACCAAATCAAGACACCATAACTAAATCAAGACACCATAACCAAATCAAGACACCACAACCAAATCAAGACACCATAACCAAATCAAGACACCACAACCAAATCAAGACACCATAACTAAATCAAGACACCATAACCAAATCAAGACACCACAACCAAATCAAGACACCACAACCAAATCAAGACACCATAACTAAATCAAGACACCATAACCAAATCAAGACACCACAACCAAATCAAGACACCACAACCAAATCAAGACACCACAACCAAATCAAGACACCATAACTAGATCATCAATAGAAAAGATTGCAGATGGTTAAACCTTTCGCAGGCATCAAAATCACTTGTACACCCACTGGCTTTAGTCTGATGAGCATTTAGCGTCTGATCAACATTGCCCTGCCTCCAAAGATAATAGTCCCTTCGGATTCTCCATTCATATAATCTATTCTAAGAAAAATGACAACATATAACCAAACTCACAACTTTTTTGTTTGAAAATACATTTAGCTATGTTCTATTGTCTGTGGCTGGATTGCCTGTAGATGGTAATGACTTTTCCTTGCATTTGATGTATTGGCTGCATGTGGTTATTGTGTCAGTATTGTCTACTTTTTGTTGATTGCCTTTATTTTGCTGTATTTGATTGTGTTGAATGCATTTCTACAGTTCTACAATTTATATAGCAGACACTTTTATCCAAAGCAACATACATCACAGAGTAAGTAAAACAAAAGCGAGATCTAGAGAGGAGGAAAACGATGTCAGTATGTGCAAATTAACAGCTTTAAGTCAGATCGGACACTAATGCTGACAG